ATATTAATTTCTAACCTGTGGTTCAAACAATGATCACATCCATATATAAGAACTAAGGGCATGAAAAATAACTAACGTAATATACCACGTCTTTCTGTGGACTATTATCTTGATATCTAGATAAAAATTAAATCAATCAACTCGACGTGTCTTGTCTAGAAAGGAGTAGGGTAAATGTATATAAAAATAAGGAGATTGCCAATAAGTTAACTATCCACTAAAGTTCAATTGAAGTGGATGTAAGCATTTTTAGGTAACCGTACGGCCTTGAGCAATGAGTAAAACCTTTACCGTATAGTCGACAATAAAAGGACCCGACATGCGAAATGTGAAACAATTCAATTAAGAAAACTTACATAACATAACAATTTGCGAAAAACAAATATGGCAGACATGAACCAACGACAACCTCTGAATAACATGCTCCTGACTTAGGACAGGCACATACAGATTATGCCGGGGTTAAATATTCTTAAAGATTTAACGGATTTGCATGGGGTTAGTAGATTTTATATGGGGTTCATGAAGTCACGTCTTCTATCAATGGTGACGTCATATATGAATGTAATTGTATTTCTTTGTTTGTTTTTATACAAAACGTGCTAGGTTCCGTATTCGATACATTCGTCATACGATTCACTTCTTTGAATTTTTCGGTATTTTTGTTATTTTACTTTTTTCTGACCTCCTATGAAAACATAGAGGGTAAGTAAGGTGCATTTTTCTCAAAACCTGAAGAACTTTAAATAGTTTTAAATTTTCAGGTCAATCTTGCAGTTAGCCCTATAAACCAGGTCCTTTCAACTTGACAGATGGACGTGACAGATGTATGAATGATGGGATCGATCCAGCTGTTATAAAAGATAAAAGAACACTTGACGAGAAGTCAATGTGTATGTCACCACAAATGGATGGTAACAAATTATAAATCATTCTGTTCAAATCTTTAAAATATGGCAAGTGGTACTTAAGTAATAATCCGGACACCAAAACAAATCTCAACTTTAAAATAATATGAAGGTAAAACGCTTGAACGGTTTTCAAAATCTTACTTGACTTGTTATTATGGATCATGTCATTGAGTTAACACCTAAAACGATTTTTTGAAGCGATACTTTAATATCATGCTGGAACGAAAACAAATCCCAAATTAAAACTTATGGACATAACTCTTGAACAGTTTATGCCAAAACTGTCAAAATCGAACTTGACTTGAATTTCACGGTCCATGCCATTCTGTTTTAATTTTGACATTTGAGAAACAAAAGTGTGACTTATGACGGACAAATAAGAGCATCACTATATACCAACCCCTTTCTTTGAGATGGGGTCATTAAAAGACGCAATGGTATAATTTGAAGTTATACATTGATGAAAAAAGATAACTCCATAGCAAAAAAGAAGCAACGTACTCCTACCTAAACCCGAGAATGCACTCAGATCCTTCGGAACAGTGAAGGAGTTCCTACTCCTAGCAAGGAAACATTGAATGTTTCAATTGTTATAATTGACACAGATATTTCGTACCCTGTGGAAAGACCTATTGATTTTCTTCTTCTGATTATTATTAGGTCTTTCCACTTTTCTGTGGAAAGACCTATTGGTTTTCTTCTGATTATTAGGTCTTTTCACTTTTCGGTGGAAAGACCTATTGTATTTGTTCTGATTATTATTATTATTAGGTCTTTCCACTTTTCTGTGGAAAGGCCTATCGGTTTTCTTCTGATTATTAGGTCTTTCCACTTTTCTGTGGAAAGACCTATTGGTTTTCTTCTGATTATTTTTTTTTTCTTCCGCCTAATTTTGTTCTTGCGATAAATATTTGTTTCGCAATATGTCGCTTAGATATTTGGTATATGATATCGAACAGTTTATGCGCCTTTGAAATTTACCCTGCGAAACCAAATAATTATCTTTGTAGGAGTTATCTCCCCGAACACTGTTTTCCTTGTGCACGCATCTCCTCCGTAACCGTAAAAGAAAGCGACAAATTTATTTTACCAAATTGCTCGTTAAATCCTCAGGATGTTTTGTCCAATTTTGACCAAAGCGATACATAAACTCCATATGAGAGTTATTTCCCCTTCTGTATTTGACATAAGGGATATATAAATGTATAGCATGAATGGTAAGTGATAGAGACCTAAGGTATATTGATTTGAGTTCCTTGGTTCATTTAAATGAAATTAAGACCAAGGTCAAAGGTCAAGGTCATATTCTAAATTTTGACTTTTCCTTGTTATTTGATCTCCTCTGTCACTTTTAAAATTACAAATTAAAGAACTAGTGCAAAATGTTTGCTTAATTGTGATTAAGATATGATACATTTGGTCTGAAATAATCCAATGATATCTTATATGAGTTATTGTCCCTGAAATGATTCAATTTAAGGTTAATTGATTATTACTCCAACTTGGTACATGATAAAGCCATAAGATCTTTTGCAAAATGTTGGATGACATATGACCTTGAAAAATGTCAACCGGAAGTGACCTTGAGTGAACCGGAAGTAGTCATTTTTGCACTTATGTCATGTAGAAGTACATAGAAACCATATATTTTTTGAATGGTCATACAATAATCTATCATTTGAGACCGGAAGTGATATTGTATAAACCGGAAGTAGCATATTATCTCCCTTATTACAGGCATAAGTATATATAAACCATATATTTTTGGAATCAGTGTAAATAAAGCTAACATATGAGACCGAAAGTGACATTTTCTAAACCGGAAGTAGCCAATTATCTCCCTTTTTACAGGCAAAAGTATATATAAACCATATATTATTGGAATCAGTGTGAATAAATATATCATATGAGACCGGAAATGACATTTTCTAAACCGGAAATGGCTAATTATCTCCCTTTTTACAGGCAAAAGTATATATAAACCATATATTTTTGGAATCAGTGTGAATAAAGCTATCATATGAGGCCGGAAGTGACATTATCTAAACCGGAAGTTGACAATCATCTCCCTTATTTCAGGCAAAAGTCTATAGAAACCATATGTTTATTGAATCAGTATGAAGAAACCTATGATTGGACGCCAAAAGTAGCTTTGAGTAAACCAGAATCAGCTTCTCATCAATTTTTTAGAAAATTGATGTGATAATACCTTCAATTGTTCTTTGAACAATTGCTTTTTAATTTATTTTTTTTCTTCCGCCAAATTTTGTTCTTGCGATAAATGTTTGTTTCGCAAGATGTCGCTTAGATGTTTAGTATATGATATCGAACAATTTATGCGCCTTTGAAATTGACCCTGCTTAACCGAATACTTTTCTTTGTAGGAGTTATCCCCCCGAACACTGTTTTCTTTGTGTGTGCATCTCCTCCGTAACCGTAAAAGAAAGCGACAAATTTATTTTACCAAATTGCTCGTTTTATCCTCAGGATGTTGTGTCCATTTTGACCGAAGCAATATGTAAACTCCATATGAGAGTTATTTCCCCTTCTGTATTTGACATAAGGGATATATAAATGTATAGCATGAATGGTAAGTGATAGAGATTTAAAATATATTGATTTGAGTTCCTTGGTTCATTTAATGAAATTGAGGCCAAGGTCAAATGTCAAGGTCATATTCTAAATTTTGACTTTTCCTTGTTATTTGATCTCCTCTGTCACTTTTAAAATTACAAATTAAAGAACTAGTGCAAAATGTTTGCTTAATTGTGATTAAGATATGATACATTTGGTCTGAAACAATCCAATGATATATTATAGGAGTTATTGTCCCTGAAATGATTCAATTTAAGGTTAATTGATTATTACTCCAGCTTGGTACATGTAAAAGCCATAGGGTCTTTTGCAAACTGTTGATTGACATATGAACTTGAAAAAATAAAAACCGGAAGTGACCTTGAGTGAACCGGAAGTAGTATTGTTTGCACTTATTTCATGGAAAAGTACCTAAAAACCATATATTTTTTGAATGATCATAGGTTAACCTATCATTTGAGACCGGAAATGACATTTTATAAACCGGAAGTAGCATATTATCTCCCTTATTACAGGCATAAGTATATACAAACTATATATTTTTGGAATAAGTGTGAATAAAGCTATCATATGAGACCGGAAGTGACATTTTCTAAACCGGAAGTTGGCAATTATCTCCCTTATTTCAGGCAAAAGTATATAGAAATCATTTATTTATTGAATCAGTATGAAGAAATCTATACTTTGACGCTATTTATAACTTTGAGTAAACCAGAAGTAGCTTCCTATCAATTATTTAGAAAATTGATGTGGAAAGACCTTCAATTGTTCTTTGAACAATTGGTTTTTAATTAGGTCTTTCCACTTTTCTGTGGAAAGACCTATTGGTTTTCTTCTGATTATTTTTTTTTTCTTCTTCCGCCTAATTTTGTTCTTGCGATAAATATTTGTTTCGCAATATGTCGCTTAGATATTTGGTATATGATATCGAACAGTTTATGCGCCTTTGAAATTTACCCTGCGAAACCAAATAATTTTCTTTGTAGGAGTTATCTCCCCGAACACTGTTTTCCTTGTGCACACATCTCCTCCGTAACCGTACAAGAAAGCGACAAATTTATTTTACCAAATTGCTCGTTATATCCTCAGGATGTTTTGTCCAATTTTGACCAAAGCGATACGTAAACTCCATATGAGAGTTATTTCCCCTTCTGTATTTGACATAAGGGATATATAAATGTATAGCATGAATAGTAAGTGATAGAGACCTAAGGTATATTGATTTGAGTTCCTTGGTTCATTTAAATGAAATTGAGGCCAAGGTCAAAGGTCAAAGTCATATTCTAAATTTTGACTTTTCCTTATCATTTGATCTCCTCTGTCACTTTTAAAATTACAAATTAAAGAACTAGTGCAAAATGTTTGCTTAATTGTGATTAAGATATGATACATTTGGTCTGAAATAATCCAATGATATCTTATATGAGTTATTGTCCCTGAAATGATTCAATTTAAGGTTAATTGATTATTACTTTTTTTTTTTTTTAAACAATTAAATCATCTTTATTGCACTAAATGCTGTTTAACAATTTACTTAGCTTACAGCATTGGGCTAAGTTTCCCTGTGTATTTAAAATTATTATATATCCAGGGAGAATATATAATAAAATATATATAAATGTTAGTATTATACAATTAAACATAATACATAATATAAATAAACGTCAATATAAACTGATTCATTGATTTTTTTGTCTGCTTACAAATCGGAAAAAATAACGGATCTTCACCGTTACATTTTGTGATTATTATGTGTGTTTACTTTCTCACAGGATACCTGTGTAATTGGAATTTACTTATTCTTTTATAATTTGAAGGATTTATTTTTCAAACTTACATGCTTGACCATGTTAATGGAAATACATATATAGGTAGGTGTATATAGTTATGTTAAATACAAATCAATAGGTTATTTGCGATGCATTTTTTTTTTGGTTCCTCGTGGTATATTATTTTTAGACTGGAAGTAGCATGTGTTGATTTGTCATACATACTCATTACCTACAGTTATCACTTACAAGTTACAATATGTCGATGTCTTTAATAACATTTTTCCGGTTTCGATATTTCTTATCGCATTTAATTTTATAATGTCGTATATTTCCGTTTTGAAAATTTTGAAGATATCTATCTTTGTTTCTTTTTTATTTGAAATAAAATGTGCTTTATATATAGAGAAAAATATAACTGTTATAAGGGTGTTTATATCAAAATATTTTATAGCCAGTTATTAAATTTTCTAGCCTTAGAATGTGTCTGTTTATTTGAAGATAAAGTAGTAGTTTATATATTTCATGCCAGTATTTAGTATTATAAGGGCATGTTATGAAAAAATGTTTATAGTTTTCAATTTCTTTGCAGAAATTGCATGAACTGTTTTCTAATACTTTCCACTGAACTAATAATTCATTGCATGGAAGGATGAAATGGAGTAATTTCCATTTAAACATTTTAAATTTGTTGTTATCTAGGTATTTAAATGTATAATTAAGAGTGCTTTTTAATTTTATGTTAAAATTTTCTTTGAAAATTCTTTCCCACTTAAGATAACCTACAGGTTTTTCTTGTTTATGAGGGGCAAATAATATTGAATATATTTCTTTATTACTCAGTTCTGGATAGATATTATGATTGAGTAGTATTTGCAGATTTTTGGTATGCTTTATATGTACTTTTGTTTTAAATGAGCTTTCTTGCTTTAAAATATTCTGCCAATGTTTTGGAATAGCTTTCTTTATTAAGGATAATTCTCTAATCCAATCTCGTTTATCTTTTAGTTTAAGTAATATTTTATTTTCTGATATATAACCTCTTTCATCTAGTATGTCATTTACATACAGAATATTATGTTCAATCCATTTAGTAAACAATAAGTGTTTTCCTTTTGTTTGTATATTATAATTGCCCCATAAGATCTGCTTTCTTATATCTAGAAAAGTTTGTGGGATCTTTGTCTGTCCACCCTTTACATTAATCCAAGTTTTAATCAATTGCTGATAGAACTCAGGGATGGATTTAAATGATTTTTTGTCTATCATATTAACATTTTTAATGTTCATTTGGAATATCAAAAGGTTCTTACCAAATTTGTTTAGATAAACTTGGGGTATGATTGACCAATTATCGCCAGAGTTTTGTTTAAGTTTTAAAATCCACCGTAATTGAAGTGCTTTGAAATACAAGTCTATGTCGATCATTTTTAACCCACCTTCCAAATAGTCTTTACAAAGGGTTACACGTTTAACTTTATCTTTTTTCCCATTCCATATGAAATTATAGACTAGAGTTTTAAACTTTTGTATAATTTCCTTTGGTATGTACATGTTTGATGCAATATAAGTTAAATTTGGAAGAATTAATGATTTTACTACTATTATTTTACCTATTAATGTTAAGTTTCTTTTCATCCAATTTGATAGTATCTTTTCACATTTTTTTAGCTGTTTATCAGTGTTTAGTTTTTGACAGTCTTGATTGTTATAACCAAAGTAAAAGCCAAGACTTTTAATGTTATCTGTTTTCCAATTTATGTTTTCAAATTTGTCTCTACTATGTTTGAGTTTTCCTAACCAAAATCCCTCTGTTTTATTTCTGTTTAACTGTAATCCTGAGAAGCTTCCAAAAGTTTCAATTATATTCATTGCTAAACTAACATCTTTTGGTGATTTGAGAAATAGGGTTGTATCATCTGCGAGTTGACATATTTTCAGTGAGCAGTTTTTACCATCTAATTTCACCTCTAAACCCTTGAGGCTATTATTTTGTCTTAGTTTAATTGCCATAATTTCAACTACCAATACGAAGGCTAACGAAGAAATTGGACATCCTTGTCGAATTCCGCGAAAAATATTAAAACTGCTGGACACCCAACCATTGTTGAGTATACAGCCTTTTATGTCTGTGTACATTGTTTGAATCCATCTTATAAAACTACTTTTGAAGCCAAATTTTTCCAAGGTTTCTGACATAAAGTTCCATTCAAGGGAGTCAAATGCCTTTGAAAAATCAACAAAAAGTATAGCTCCATCTACTTTAAAGTTCTCTGAGTAATCAATAATATCTTGCATTTGCCTGATATTGAAGCCTATGTATCTATTTTTTATGTAACCTTTTTGGTCAGTATGAATTATTTTTGGTAATACTAGTTTTAATCTTTGAGCAAGTGCATAAGCTAACAATTTTACATCATAATTTAACAGAGTTATTGGACGATAATTATTTAAAGAAAGTGGATCTTCTTTTTTATATATTAATGATATTGCTCCAACTTTTTGTGAATTTGACAATTCTCCTTTTTCATGGCAAAAATTGAATACAGATACAATTAATTCTTTTATTTTTTCCCAAAATCTTCTGTAAAATTCAACATTAAGTCCATCTAAACCTGGAGCTTTATTTAGTTTCATTTTGAATATAGCATCTGTACATTTCTGCACTGTGATTTTTCCTTCACATAAATTACTTTCACTATCACTTAATTTTGGACATTTTTTAATATCGTTTAAGTACTTTTTGGTATCTTCAACATCTGGATTAGTAGAGGAATATAAATTTTTATAATAGTTAACTTCAAGGTCAAGTATTTTTTTTTTATCAGTAATTATATTATTGTTTACATCATATAATCTAGTAATGGTTTTTTTGCACTGCCTGGCTTTTTCAAGACCTAAGAAGTATGAGGTATTTTTTTCTCCCTCTTCAATCCATTTCACCCTTGATCTTATTTGATTGCCTTTTATTTTTTCATTGTACAGATTTCCTAATTCTTGTTCTACTTTCTCTATTTTTTCAAACAGGTAGGTATTTGTTTCATTAACTCTGATGTTATTTGTATGAATTTCATTATTTAGTTGTATTAGTTGATTTTCTAATACATTGATTGAATCTTTTTTGTTTAGGGCTTTCAATTTACAGAACTGAATTGTACAATCTCGAACCTCTATTTTAAAATTGTCCCATAAAATAGCTAGATTTTTTGAATCATTTGCTTTAATTTTATAGTTGTTAATGAGATTGTATATTATTTTTAGGTAAATTTCATTGTTTAAAACACTACTATTTAATTTCCAGTAACCACGTCCTTTATTATTTCTTGACATTTGTAATTTTAAAGATACACTATTGTGGTCAGTGTATTGAATAACAACTGGTCTAATATCACAAGAGGAGCAATTTTTTTTAATTTCAGTACTAACAAGGAAGTAGTCAATTCTTGTGGCTTCTGTTTTATTTCTTTTACACCAGGTGAAATGAGTTTTATCTCGGTTTTTTTCACGCCAAATATCTGTTAATTTAAGAGATTTAATTAAAGTTTTAAGTCCGGATACTGGTTTATCAAATTTTGTTCTTTTATTTTTATTTTTTGTATCTTTTTCAGATAAGATATCGTTAAAATCTCCTCCTATTATTAATTGTCCAAGACTATATTTGTCTATAAAAGTTTTAACTGATTTAAAAAAGGTGTTTCTTAGTTTATTGTTATTTGGTGCATAAACGTTTGCAATTGTAAGTATGCTTTCATCAATTTCTATATTTATCAGAAGAAGTCTCCCGTCTTTATCCTTATAATAGTCAATAAATTTGTAATTAAGCCTACTTTTTAACCATATGGATACCCCTCTAGCATTGCTCTGACCATTGCTGAAGAACAATTCCCCTTCAAATTCTTTTTTTAAAGATTCTTCTAAGCTGTCAGTAAAATGTGTTTCTTGTATTAGAAGGATATCACATTTTTGTTGTTTTGTCCATTCAATTAGTCGTTTTCTTTTTTCAGTTTGCTGTAGTCCCTTAGAATTGACTGTACAGATGTGAAGTTTTGGATCAGCCATGATTGTTATTATTAAAAGGTAAGAATTAATTTAGCTTTATGATTGGGAAACCCCCATCTATTTATAGTATCAATTATCGATGTTGTGCCTTCTGCTACTGTTTCACGCAGGTTTACTTTAACTAACAGGTGAAAAATTATCGGCTGTTTTGTTGTGTTTTTAACAATGTATTCTTTATATTTTCTACATAGTGCACAATGTTTTACTATACGTAGTGATCCTATATAAAAACATATTAAATAGTGTTCACATTTTATCACATTATTTAGATATACAGTATCATTAATATATAACGTAACGGTATTATGTAAAACAATATTACACAGTGTTGTTTTCAAGTTAACAATGCTTACAATTTTTACACAGAATGACCTCGCCTTACGGGTCATTATTTGGGTCAACAGCGTGACTTTGTTTACAAACTGAGCTGTGACAAACGTATACCACACACAGCTTGTGAATACAATAATTGAGAAATAAATTTTACTCAAAACAAAAAATATACATAAATTGCAATGCTTCTGTTGAGAAAAATATTTACATGAATATATTATACAAAAGTTATAATTACAAAGTTTACAGTAGATTAACATAATGAGTAATTTACATGAATATGTACATTTTTTTTATCAGTACTATATGTGTTGCATTTGTCAGGACTAGATCGTAATGGTTTGTTATCCTCATACTTCTTTGCTTTTATTTTGGTATATTGTTTTTTGTAACTATTGAATGCTAAAAGAGTTATTATTTTTTTCAGGAAATATATGCTATGGTTTACTGTATGAGCTGCACTATTTCTATTTTCCAATTTGGACTCGACTATGCACATCATTTAAATACGAAATATGAGCATATGTGTAGCTGCATACGTGATTCTGGATTTGTACACCGGTTGTCAATTTACTATTCATTTTTGGTGTACAAAAGTGTGTTCTTTGCATATCTGTGTACAGTATTGAAAAGTGATATATGTAATTATTTTGTGATCTAAGAAGAATCATTTTAAGGCACATCTGGATCAATTGGAGCTGTGGTGAGGAAAGTGCAAACTTTAAATAAAGTATGTAATTCACCAGAGATACTAATTGTGGAATGTATGTGAACTTACTACTACATGTATATAGAGTGGTACTTTGTTCAACTTTGCTGTGAATGAGTTTTGTTACAAGTGTCATCATGATCATACAAAAAATAAATATCACTGCACATGTATTACAGTATAATATTAAATTAGTGTTGCATTTATTTGTTTTCATTTGAAGTTTCTGCAAACTGTTTGTTTTTGCAGTACTGATAAATACCATTGGGTTTCAGTTGATATGATTAAGTTGCCAAAGTTTTTGACCGTTTTACTGTGGTATCACCCTCATTATCGTGCAGAACATGGGTCGGGGTAACCGGAGACCGTTCCACGTTTCTGTTAGCTTTTAGTTTTGCAGGAGTTGATACAGACTCCTGTTGTTCTGATACAAATGAAGTAATTTGAGTTTGTGTTGTCTTTTTCTCTTTTTTCTCTTTTTTTGTTTTTCTTTTCCTTTCCTCCTGAGTTGGTACGGACTGGGGCATATCACTGTCGTCTTCATGTACGCTCGTAGATTCATGTTCACTAATTGTTGGTGGATCATCTGTGAGACTTGGTTGTTGTGTAGCATCAGTATCTACAGAAGTGTCATCATCAGCATGTGTGTTTTCATTTGCATCATTTGTGCTTTGATGTACATCAGATTGTTGATTGGTATCAGAAAGATCATTTTCCATACAGTCCATTTTTTTATGACCTTCCTTACCACATGATTTACAAACCCAGTCATTAGGGCAATTGCTTATATTGTGGCCATCAGCTAGACATTTTGAGCACTTTTTTGGACGACTGTTTGTCACTGGTTGATCGCGGTACATAACTGTGGCTCTGTATTTTCCTATTGCAATAGAGCGAGGAATGTGTTGGGGTAAGGGACCCTCACATATAACAATTCTATCACCAGTGAAACAGTTAGTGAGCTTATTCTCATACCTCAGACGTTCTCTAAAGTGGTTTAAGATTATACAGCTTCGTTCTTCTAGTGCTCTTAAGATTTGGCCGTCATCGGCAGAGAGTGGGACATCTTTAACTCTAATTCTTACATTGTCTATGTTCTCATGTATGGTCACCCGAGGGTTGCTTGAGTAAACGTTGACTTTTTTACCACGAATTTCTACCCCCTTAGAGATAAGGTGATCTCTTTCAGACTCACAATCCAGGTATATTCTCCAGAGACCTCTTATACGTTGAAGTCCTATGATGGTTCTTGCTTCAACTGAATAACCCAGAGTTTGATACATCTCAATATTTGTTAGGTAAAGTGTTTTTGTTGTTACTCGATCTGTGAGTGAACCAAATACATCTATTTCTTGAACAAAGACTGGCTTAACACCGGCCATTGTTGAAGGGTCTATTGTCTTTGGATCTGTTTTTGTTGCGTCGGCATACGACGCCATTTTTTCTTCACTTTGGCTTTCTTCATTAGATTTTGCCATTTTTACAAGAATTTAAGAATGTTCTGGTGTGTTAAGATCGTGTAAATTGTCAAAAGAAATGTTTATGATAAACCTTGGACAACAATATATTGCAGCTAAGTTGGATTTTTCTTCGAATTTCACAATTTTTTCCTTGTCTGATTACAACCCGCTACCGTAGTCAAGGGTCGTAACCTAGTCTTGATTATTACTCCAACTTGGTACATGATAAAGCCATAAGATCTTTTGCAAAATGTTAGGTGACATATGACCTTGAAAAATGTCAACCGGAAGTGACCTTGAGTGAACCGAAAGTAGTCATTTGTGCACTTATTTCATGTGGAAGTACATAGAAACCATATATTTTTTGAATGGTCATACATTAATCTATCATTTGAGACCGGAAGTGATATTTTATAAACCGGAAGTAGCATATTATCTTCCTTATTACAGGCATAAGTATATATAAACCATATATTTTTGGAATCAGTGTAAGTAAAGCTATCATATGAGACCAAAAGTGACATTTTCTAAACCGGAAGTAGCCAATTATCTCCCTATTTACAGGCAAAAGAATATATAAACCATATGTTTTTGGAATCAGTGTAAATAAATCTATCATATGAGACCGGAAGTGACATTTTCGAAACCGGAAGTAGCCAATTATCTCCCTTTTTACAGACAAAAGTATATACAAACCATATATTTTTGGAATCAGTGTAAATAAAGCTATCATATGAGACCGGAAGTGACATTGTCTAAACCGGAAGTTGACAATCATCTCCCTTATTTTAGGCAAAAGTCTATAGAAACCATATGTTTATTGAATCAGTATGAAGAAACCTATGATTGGACCCCAATAGTAGCTTTGAGAAAACCAGAATTAGCTTCTCATCAATTATTTAGAAAATTGATGTGATAAGACCATCAATTGTTCTTTGAACAATTGGTTTTTAATTTTTGTTTTTCTTCCGCCAAATTTTGTTCTTGCGATAAATTTTTGTTTCGCAAGATGTCGCTTAGATGTTTCGTATATGATATCGAACAGTTTATGCGCCTTTGAAATTGACCCTGCTTAACCGAATACTTTTCTTTGTAGGAGTTATCTCCCCGAACACTGTTTTCCTTGTGCGTGCATCTCCTCCATAACCGTAAAAGAAAGCGACAAATTATTTTACCAAATTGATCGTTATATCCTCAGGAGGTTTTGTCAAATTTTGACCGAAGCGATACGTAAACTCCATATGAGAGTTATTTCCCCTTCTGTATTTGACATAAGGGATATATAAATGTATAGCATGAATGGTAAGTGATAGAGACCTAAGGTATATTGATTTGAGTTCCTTGGTTCATTTAAATGAAATTGAGGCCAAAGCCAAAGGTCAAGGTCATATTCTAAATTTTGACTTTTCCTTGTTATTTGATCTCCTCTGTCACTTTTAAAATTATAAATTAAAGAACTAGTGCAAAATGTTTGCTTAATTGTAATTAAGATATGATACATTTGGTCTGAAACAATCCAATGATATATTATAGGAGTTATTGTCCCTGAAATGATTCAATTTAAGGTTAATTGATTATTACTCCAATTTGGTACATGATAAAGCCATAGAGTCTTTTGCAAACTGTTGGTTGACATATGACCTTGTAAAAAATAAACCGGAAGTGACCTTGAGTGAACCGGAAGTAGTATTTTTTGCACTTATTTCATGGAAAAGTACCTAGAAAGCATATATTTTTTGAATGATCATAGGTTAACCTATCATTTGAGACCGGAAGTGACATTTTATAAACCGGAAGTAGCATATTATCTTCCTTTTTACAGGCATAAGTATATACAAACTATATATTTTTTGGAATCTGTGAATAAAGCTATCATATGAGACCGGAAGTGACATTTTCTAAACCGGAAGTTGGCAATTATCTCCCTTATTTCAGGCAAAAGTATATAGAAACCATTTATTTATTGAATCAGTATGAAGAAATCTATACTTTGACGCTATTAATAACTTTGAGTAAACCAGAAGTAGCTTCCAATCATTTATTTAAAAAATTGATGTGGAAAGATCTTCAATTGTTCTTTGAACAATTGGTTTTTAATTTATTTTTTCTTCCGCCAAATTTTGTTCTTGCGATAAATTTTTGTTTCGCAAGATGTCGCTTAGATGTTTCGTATATGATATCGAACAGTTTATGCGCCTTTGAAATTGACCCTGCTTAACCGAATACTTTTCTTTATAGGAGTTATCTCCCTGAACACTGTTTTCCTTGTGCATGCATCTCCTCCGTAACCGTAAAAGAAAGCGACAAATTTATTTTACCAAATTGCTCGTTATATCCTCAGGATGTTTTGACCGATTTTGATCGAAGCGATACGTAAACTCCATATGAGAGTTATTTTCCCTTCTGTATTTGACATAAGGGATATATAAATGTATAGCATGAATGGTAAGTGATAGAGACCTAAGGTATATTGATTGGAGTTCCTTGGTTCATTTAAACGAAATTGAGGCCAAGGTCAAAGGTCAAGGTAATATTCAAAATTTTGTCTTTTCCTTGTTATTTGATCTCCTCTGTCACTTTTAATATTACAAATTAAAGAACTAGTGCACAATGTTTGCTTAATTGTGATTAAGATATGATACATTTAGTCTGAAACAATCCAATGATATCTAATAGGAGTTATTGTCCCTGAAATGATTCAATTTAAGGTTAATTGATTAATACTCCAACTTGGTACATGATAAAGCCATAGGGTCTTTTGCAAACTGTTGGTTGACAGATGACCTTGAAAAAAGTAAACCGGAAGTGAACTTGAGTGAACCGGAAGTAGTATTTTTTTGCACTTATTTCATGGAAAAGTACATAGAAACCATATATTTTTTGAATGATCATAGGTTAACCTATCATTTGAGACCGGAATGGACATTTTATAAACCGGAAGTAGCATATGATCTTCCTTATTACAGGCATAAGTATATACAAACTATATATTTTTGGAATCAGTGTGAATAAAGCTATCATATGAGACCGAAAGTGACATTTTCTAAACCGTAAGTTGGCAATTATCTCCCTTATTTCAGGCAAAAGTATATAGAAACCATTTATTTATTGAATCAGTATGAAGAAATCTATACTTTGACGCTATTAATAACTTTGAGTAAACCAGAAGTAGCTTCCTATCAATTATTTAGAAAATTGATGTGGAAAGACCTTCAATTGTTCTTTGAACAATTGGTTTTTAATTATTATTTTTTTTTCTTCTTCTTCCGCCACATTTTTTTTGGCACGGTGCTTTTCTGTTTCGCAAGATGTCGCTTAGATTTTTTGCATATGATATCGAACAGTTATTGCGATTTTGAAACTGACCCTGTTTAGCCGAACACTTTTCATTGTAAGAGTTATCTCCCCAAACACTGTTTTTCTTGTGTACGCATCCCCTTCGCAACCGTAAAATATTACGACAAAATTATTTCACCAATTTGCTCATTATATCGTCAGAATCTTAAAAATAATTTTGACCGAAGAGGTCCAGAAAATCCATAAGAGAGTTATTTCCCCTTCTGTATTTAAAATAAGTAAAATGTAATCATAATTGGTAAAACATAAGTGATAGAAACCCAGGGTCTTTTGATTTGAGGTCCTTGGTCCAAAAAAAGAAAAGAAAATAGGGTCAAGGTCAAAGGTCAAGGTCATTTCTAAATTTGGATTTTGGCTTATTTTCACCTCTTTTCAAACACCATATAAGA